CGGTCGGGCGCAAGGATTTTCTCCTCTATGGTATGTCCAACACCAGCTTCGCTTAATAAAGATTTCCTAATCTCCTCTATGGTATGTCCAACACCGGCTTCGCTTAATAAAGATTTTCTGAATAGCCGGCCTACGGCCGGGCGCAAGGATTTTCTCCTCTATGATATGTCCAACACCGGCTTCGCTTAATAAAGATTTCCTGAATAGCAGGCCTACGGTCGGGCGCAAGGATTTTCTCCTCTATGGTATGTCCAACACCGGCTTCGCTTAATAATGATTTCCTAATCTCCTCTATGGTATGTCCAACACCGGCTTCGCTTAAAAAAAATTTCCTAAATAGCCGGCCTACGGCCGGGCGCAAGGATTTTCTCCTCTATGGTATGTCCAACACCGGCTTCGCTTAATAAAGATTTTCTGAATAGCCGGCCTACGCCGGGCGCAAGGATTTTCTCCTCTGTGATATGTCCAACACCGGCTTCGCTTAATAAAGATTTCCTAAATAGCCAGCCTACGGCCGGGCGCAAGGATTTTCTCCTCTATGGTATGTCTAGCACCGGCTTCGCTTAATAAAGATTTCCTAAATAGCCAGCCTACGGCCGGGCGCAAGGATTTTCTCCTCTATGGTATGTCTAACACCGGCTTCGCTTAATAAAGATTAGTATACATACGTTTTTTTTCTTAATAGCAAAATCATAATTAAATTATTAATATCTCAGGAACTATAATACTTACAAAAACATATTATACCTTAATAAAAAGCTCAATATCTTGGCTTTTAAACAATCTAATTTATATACTTACCTATAAAGGCATTTTTTCCCGATTTTTTAGATAAACCTCAAAAATATCGGGTCAAAAATTATGTTTCCCAAAATTGACCTATAATGGTTCCTTTTTTGTATATCATGTTACATATCATTGGAATACCTTTGATTTGATATATATATCGGTCCAAACAAATGTATATTTTTCGATATATAGCCCTAAATATTTTGAACTTTAGAGGCCCGCCCACCCTAAAGTAGGCGTGGCCGACAAAAAATTTTTACGTCATTTCACTCACAAAGGAAGTCTCTATTAGTGGTGAAATTTTCGACGTGATTTGAAAAATGTCACTAAAACCGACTTAAGCCTTAGAAATAGATCTAAAAGGCTAGAAGACTAAAATTTATACATCCATATAAACATTATGAAAATGAATGGACGAACCATTAATAATGGTCGTGATACCTTTCATACAAAGTGAAAAATGTGTATAATGACAGTGTTTTTTCCCATGAAATATAAATATGAAAGGAGATTTTTATTTATATTGCTTTTAAGGTAGCAAAGCACACTGGGTATAGCTACTACATAGTTTATATTTCAGTTATATAATACTAGCTATACCCAGTGTGCTTCGCTACCCTCATCGTAATGGAATAAAATAAATATCATTATTGTAAATGTATATATATCTGCAATATCAAAAATTCCCCTTTTAGAGAACTCTTTAAGTTTGATTTTATGATTCTAGTCTCAATATTACAGAAAATTAAAAAAAACAGTTGAAGAACGAAAAAGTGCCTTTTTATATATTTTCATTAAATCAGGATGACGCATGTTTAATTTTCAACCAGAAACCAAAAAAATCGCATAAAGATTTTTATACAATCAGGAAGCTACATGTCCAATTTTATGTTTAGGTTCAATATTATAGAAAATTCGAAAAGTATTAGTAAAAGAACAAAAAAGTACCAGAGTATTCTTTTTCAATTTTCGTTCAATTGGGATATTGCGTGTTTAATTTTATGTTTATATATTCAATATTTTAGAGAGCTCTAAAAGTACCAGTACCAGTGAAGTACGAAAAAGTACCAAAAAACCTATTTTATTTAATTTCATGTTCCTAAGTTCAATATTATAGAAAATTCAAAAAGTACCAGAAAATATTCCAGTTTAAATTTTCATTCACTCTAGTCCCTGATTGCTTTTATAGATTCTAATTAACTCCGGGCTCCACATGCTTAATTTCATGTTTCTAGGATCAATATTATAAAAAACACAAAAAGTACATTTGAAGAACGAAAAAATACCAAAAAGTGCCCTTTTATAGGTTCTCACTTAATGCAGGCTCTAAACGCTTAAGTTCATGTTTCTAGGTTCAATATTATAGAAAATTCAAAATGTACCTTTTAAAGAACGAAAAAGTACCAAAAAGTCCCCTTTTATAGGTCCTCACTTAATCCGGGCTCTACATGCTTAATTTCACGTTTCTAGGTTCAATATTATACAAAAATCCAAAAAGTACCTTTTGAAGAACGAAAAAGTTCCAAAAAGTCCCCTTTTATATGTTCTCACTTAATCCAGGCTCTACATACTTAATTTCATGTTTCTAGGTTCAATATTATAAAAAATTCAAAAAGTACCTTTTGATGAACGAAAAGTCCCCTTTTATAGATTCTCATTTACTCCGGGCTCCACATGCTTAATTTCATGTTTCTAGGTTAAATTTTATAGAAAACTAAAAAAGTACCAGTCGAAGGACGAAAAAGTACCAAAAAGTCCCCTTTTATAGATTCTCATTTACTCCGGGCTCTACATGCTTAATTTCACGTTTCTAGGTTCCATATTATACAAAATCCAAAAAGTACCTTTTGAAGAACGAAAAAGTACCAATAGTCCCCTTTTATAGGTTCTCACTTAATCCATCCTCTACATACTTAATTTTATGTTTCTAGGTTCAATATTATAGGAAATTCAAAAAGTACCTTTTGAAGAACGAAAAAGCACCAAAAAGTCCCCTTTTATAGATTCTCATTTACTCCGGGCTCTACATGCTTAATTTCATTTTTCTATGTTAAATTTTATAAAAAACTCAAAAAGTACCTTTTGTAGAACGAAAAAGTACCAAAAAGTCCGCTTTTATAGATTCTCATTTACTACGGGCTCTACATGCTTAATTTCATTTTTCTAGGTTAAATTTTATAGAAAACTCAAAAAGTACCTTTTGTAGAACGAAAGAGTACCAAAAAGTCCGCTTTAATAGATTCTCATTTACTCCGGGCTCTACATGCTTAATTTCATGTTTCTAGGTTAAATTTTATAGAAAACTCAAAAAGTACCAGTCGAAGGACGAAAGAGTACCAAAAAGTCCCCTATTATAGATTCTCATTTACTCTGGGCTCTGCATGCTTAATTTCATGTTTCTAGGTTAAATTTTATAGAAAACTCAAAAAGTACCAGTCGAAGGACGAAAAAGTACCAAAAAGTCCCCTATTATAGATTCTCATTTACTCTGGGCTCTGCATGCTTAATTTCATGTTTCTAGGTTCAATTTTATAGAAAACTCAAAAAGTACCAGTCGAAGGACGAAAAAGTACCAAAAGGTCCCCTATTATAGATTCTCATTTACTCTGGGCTCTACATGCTTAAATTCATGTTTCTAGGTTAAATTTTATAGAAAACTCAAAAAGTACCAGTCGAAAGACGAAAAAGTTCCAAAAAGTCCCCTTTTATAGATTCTCATTTACTCCGGTCTCGACATGCTTAATTTTATGTTTCTAGGTTAAATTTTATAGAAAACTCAAAAAGTACCAGTCGAAAGACGAAAAAGTACCAAAAAGTCCCCTTTTATAGATTCTCATTAACTAAGGCCTCCGCATGCTTAATTTCATGTTTCTAGGTTAAATGTTATAGAAAACTCAAAAAGTACCAGTCGAAGGACGAAAAAGTACCAAAAAGTCCCCTTTTATAGATTCTCATTTACTCCGGTCTCGACATGCTTAATTTCATGTTTCTAGGTTAAATTTTATAGAAAACTCAAAAAGTACCAGTCGAAGGACGAAAAAGTACCAAAAAGTCCCCTTTTATAGATTCTCATTTACTCCGGCCTCTACATGTTTAATTTCATGTTTCTAGGTTCAATATTAAAGAAAATTCAAAAAGTACCTTTTGAAGAACGAAAAAGTACCAAAAAGTCCCATTTTATAGATTCTCATTTACTCCGAGCTCTACATGCTTAATTTCATGTTTCTAGGTTTAATTTTAAAGAAAACTCAAAAAAGTACCTGTGTAAAACGAAAAAGTAGCGAAAAGTCCCTTTATTATTAATTTCATGTTTCTATTTCAATATCATAGAAAACTCAAGAAGGACCAGTTGGAGAATGAAAAGTACCAAAAAATATCACTTGGTACCGGGGTTCCAAATAACACCCCATTAGGATATTTAGTGTTTCTAAATTTAAAAATTTTATCTAAATTGGATCATTGTGGTTGAATAAAATCAAATTTCCCGTTTTTACCCCTTTTGGTACTTTTTTCCTCCCCATTAACGAAATAAAAATTCTATTCCAAAAAGTTGCAACATCGTAGTGGAAGCCCGTTATTATGTATTCATATGTATAAGTTAATAAACCAAAAACAATGTTTTATGAAAAGGTACCAAAAATAGGTACAATTTTAACCCCTTAAACGTCCGAATATCCAAAAAGTACTAAATTCATATTTTTATTTTTTCGTTAAGTTATGAAAGAGTCAAAAATATTTTTTGAATGTGCACTGGTTTAAAAGATACATGGGGTGCGAAAAAAGTACCAAAATACAGTTTTTACCCGTTTATTCCCTAAAGGAGCCGAATTTTAAAAAAGTACCAGACACCTGTCCGTTTATTTTTTAAATGAACGGCGATAAGCTTTAAACTGTTTTTGTATCTTTTCTAGTTTAGGAGATATAAGGTTACCGAATTTACCCGTTTTTACCCTTTTTTACCCCCTAAACATTCGAATTTCCAAAAATCCCGTCTAAGTGGATCTATTTGGCGGGAGATCAACCTCCTGTCCAAATTTCAGCTCTTTAGCTTCAACCGTTTAGGCTGTGCGATGATGAATCAGTCAGTGAATCAGTCAGTCAGTCAGTAACGTTAGAATTTTATATATATAGATGAAGTATAAATGTTATTAGTTACAACCCCATCAATAATATATGTAAATCAATTTTTCCACTTAAAAAATGATACTTACCACCAATTGCTTCACACTTCAATGTAATAATGTCTCCCTCGCTATAGGGACCAACAACAGTCGATCGCTCTACATCAGAATCATCTCTTATTATAACTATTTCTGGTGGAGCTGTAAATAAGAATAATATTATATAAAACATTTTAGGCATGTTTATTCTATAACGTTTTTGCGCTTTTTTGGAGAGTTTATGAAAAAGAAAATAAATATTTTTTAAAAACAGTTTTTACTAAATAAAAAAAATAAATAATGATCTCAAAAATAAACTGCTAGAGTTTAATGTATTTTAGATCCACTACATTTTTCGATTTTGAACATCAGACCGACTACCTCTGTATGGGCAGCAAAATCGCGTCTTTGTCACCGATCCCAAAACTTTATGATGATTCTGAAAAATATTTAAAGTTTATGAGCTGGACCGATATTAGAAAATGTACTTTTATACCCACCATCAAAAAGGTATATTGATTTTGTCATTCCATTTGTAACACATCGAAATATTGATCGTAGACCAGAAAGAGTATATATGTATATTCTGGGTCCCAAAAAAAAAGCAAAATCTTTACATACCCGGTAAGCCAGAAAGTAATATTGGAAACAAGTAGAAACTACTTACTTTTGGGGGGAATAACTACTTATTTTTGTTCGACGTTGACCAAGAAATAAGTAGTTACCTAAAACAACTAAATATGTGGTTACCAATTTACTTACAGAAACTCTGCGAATATTGGGTTATTTAGTTTATTACAAATGGTAAACCAATAACTATTTATAAATCTACATACTAAAAATGAAGAAATAATAATACTCATATTCTGACCGTAATTACAAAAATAAAAATAAATTTTCCCAAGCTGGGATTTGAACCAAGGCGTTCAGTTATTATCCATGTTTCTTACTTCAGCTGTTTACTCAATGCTCCATTAAGTACTTGTTTTATTGTAACATTGTGAACAGTTTTTCAAAAAATATAAATCAATGTCATTTCGCATAAAAATAATTGGAATCAACCAGGGCTCGTACCACCGACCTCTTGTTTGTTAAATAGACGCGCTAGACAATTGGGCTATAACATTTCCAAATTACTTTGCTCTATATCCGTAAGCACATATTCAGGTAAATAAAATAATATGCTTGATAATGACAACTGATTACCAAGAAATATATGAAATAACTACTTTTCTTTACCAAAAATTTTAGATATTTCGCTGGGAATGAATGAAGAATATAAGATTTATCATACCAGGAAAGAATAACAAAATAAGATTAATTCATTAAATTTTTTATTTTCACAAAGAAAATACAAATATGTATGTACTTATGTACATTAGAGGTGGTTAAAAAATATCGATTTTGTTTGGATGGGTCTTATTTTATTTATTAGTACCAAAAAAAATTAGCCCAATCAGATAACGGGAACCCGTGCCGGAAATCGATTGGAAAGTGTAAAATTCGGTAAATGCCATTAAAATTATATTTTCTAAAAATGTCTACTAAATCCTATCTTCTAAAGACATAATAATTATATAATTGTACCTCTTTGGATAATTTTCTCTAGAAGATAAGGTTTGGCCTAAATGTTAAGAAAGAAGAAATCAAAAAAGTCTTATTTTTAACAAAATTATATACGTTACAATCAATTTCCGGCACGGGTTCCTATTATTCGATTGGACTAAAATTTTACACCAGTTAGTTTTAGACACTAACAATATTAAAACCATTCAAGCAAAATCCATTTTGGACACCTCAATAACGAAAAGAAATATTTAACAAATTCATTAAATAATGCTAAAAGTTGGTTGTTTGATCGTACGTACATTATAAAAACAAACCAATTATATTTAGGGAACTGTAAAAGCTGAATATAAATATTTAAAACCTAAATATATTAAAACTTTACCATTAACGTACATATTAAAAAATGGCGGTTCAACAATATAGATATCTGGAATCTGCAATTTATATCTGGGAAACTATAAATTTTAGACTCAAATGTGTTTAAAGTATGTAGTTTAATTACTAAAATAAGTGGTTATAACACGTATTACATGCAAGTACTTATTTGACCCTTGTAGGTAACTATATATATAAGTACATATTTAGATCATTACAAGCAACTAATTATTATTGTATTTGAAATAATGAGATTAATAAGTACCAATCATTACTTTGTAACCTAGGAAATAACTACTACCCATTACCGAAATTCAAGAAAATTTTGCTGGGTCCTTATTTAATTCTATGACGATCTGTCTGTTCAAAGTGCGAACGGAAAGAGGCAGAGTGTTGAATTTTCACACAAATATTACCTATTGGTAAGGTTTGTATGGTATTGATAATGGGCAATATCAGTTTTGGTATAACCCCTATAATTCGACGCCGACTTGTTTCATGTCAATCGAAATCTCTACCAAATTTTATGAGGATCGTTCCTTAACTGTGCCTTCCTTTCATATAAGGTCAGAGTGTTGAATTTTCACCCAAATATTCCCTATTGGTAAGGTTTGTTTGGTATTGAAAATGGGCAATATCAGTTTTGGTATAGCCCCTATAATTGGTCCTAACGCCAATATAAGGCTCCCTTAAGAAAATGAAATTTACGCTCATTACTGACATAAAAATACGAGAGCAACGATGAATTTCGACGCCGACTTGTTTCATGTCAATCGAAATCTCTACCAAATTTTATGAGGATCGTTCCTTAACTGTACCTTCCTTTCATATAAGGTCAACTTAAGAAAATAACTTTAACGCTTATTACGGGCTTGAAAATATGAGTACAGTAACGAAATTCGACATAAGCAAATTTTAAAAATCTTCCTGACAAATTGTATGAGAATTGGTTCATAACTGGCTCTACTCCCCATATAGCTTTGAAATTCGACCAAAATATATGTACATATATAAAAGAAATCTGTCTTCTAAATTTTCGGTCCATAATAGACCCTACCCCCACAGAAAAGCAGTATATCTATATATATAAAAATGAATGTGTGTTTATTTGCGGGTTTGTTTGTTTATTTGTTTGAAGTCTAAAAACGGCTAAACTCCTGGACCGATTTTGAAATGTTCTCAGTGTCTTTGTGTATGCCTCAAAGGAAATATAGGCTACTTTTTATTTTGATATTTCATGGCTGGAATATGTAATAGGCTACTACTTATTTTATATTTTAAGTGGGCGAGGAAACACGCCCATATTAAGAAAATATAAAATCCGTATATTTGAGGTAATATAACAGTTATAGTCCTCAAATTTTGTCAGAGCCACTTTAGTGTCAATATGATTATTTAGGACAAAAATTAGGCGGACTAGCATTAGGGGGCGTGGCACCTCCCATAAAAATTAAATACACAAAATCGTTTATCTTGGAAACTATTACAGTTAGAATCTTAAAATTTTGCACGAATAACTTTAACATCTATGTAAAAATTTTTGGTAATAAATTAGCGGACTACCCATGAGGGGAGCGGTACCTCCCATATTAATTAAAGCGGCACCTTCCATAACCATAAATATTCATCTGAACATTTTGGAGGAACAAGAGCGGACTTTCATCTGGGGGTCTTGGAGCCCCCATAGAATAAAATAGAAAAATTCGTATATCTGAGAAACTATTAGAGCTAGAATCTTTAAATTTTACTTGAAGAACTTTGACATTCATCTGAACATTTAGAGTATAACGGACTTTCAATAGGGGACTTGGCACCTTCCATATGAATTAAATACAAAATTTCGTTTATCTGGGAAACAAATAGAACTAGATTCTTCAAATTACTATAATATTTTTCTGAACATTTTGGAGGAAAAGAGCGGATAATAAAATATAAAAACTCGTAGGTATTTAGGTAGGTAGGTTGATAGGAGGATGTATACTACATCAAATCCAAAGAAATACACCTAGGCCACTATCGGGCTAGTTGTGTGCTCCTTATCATGAAAAAAAAGGAACTGAATTATGAATTATTTTTCAGTGTTCAGAAACTCAGTTTCCTGAACGTAATTCCTAAGAATCTTCCAATCAGTGTTAGTCAGGAATGTTATTTCCGGAATAACATCACTTCCAAGATACTTGGATCTGACTTCGACGAATGCATGGCAATGCCAAAGAAAGTGCTCCAGAGTTTCACTATCCTCTCCATATGCTTTACATTCGTCTGAATCCGCACGTCCAATTTTGCATAGATGTGCTCGTAATCCTGTGTGTCCACTCAGAATACGTCCCATCATACTAACTTCAGACTTGTTCATTTTGAGGAGATTTTTCGTCTTGCTCTCATCAGGGTCACCCCATAGGATCTTCGTGGTTCTACCCACTGTTTCCAAGAGGCCTTATGGGATTCTCTCACCCATATTTTTAGTTCAGCTTTTGTTGCGTCGAACGGTTTTGCGTTTGTCAGGTTAACTGCCTCGATCTCCCTTCCCTTTAAAGGTATTATATTCGCCCTTTCGTTACCGACTACTCCCGAGTGGGCTGGTACCGATATGATGAGAACCTTACCTATGGGAGAGTATTCAGTTAAAGCTTTCTTACAATCCAATACGGTCTTAGATTAAGTTCTATTACCTGATATCCCCTAATTGCCTTTTGGCTGTCGGTAAATATATTAAGCGCTGTGGGCGCTATATTTATTCTAATCCAATTTACGCATTCCGTTATTGCATATCCGACATATTCTGTGTCTGGTATACGATCAGGCACGTCTGATGATTGTGTATAACCTTCCAATGTGTCCAGTATACATTGATGACGTGTCCTATAACCGCTTTTTGTCAGTTCGCCTAAAGTAAAGAGCCGTTCGTAAGTTCGTATAAAAGCCGCCTCGTATCTTAAATATGTTTCAATGGGTGGAATATCTAGCAAGGTTTCCAGAGCCTTGGTTGAAGTAGTACACATGGCACCACTTATACCCAAGCAGCATGTACGCTGAACTCCCTGTAGTAGTTTGATATTGCACTTTTTGTCTAAAGCAGTCCACCAGATTATTGAAGCATAAGCTAGAATTGGTCTAATTACACTTTTATAAAGCCAATTTGTCATAGTAGAACTGAGACCCCATTTCATGCCTATAGTTCTCCTACATATCGCCCAGCACCGATGTGCCTGTTGATC